CTTCCTGTCCACCATGCCATGAGCAGCTTCCTCTGCCAGACCCCTCTCCCATGCTGTTTTGCCTTAGAGGGAGCCAACAATGGACTGAAAGATAAGCCAAAGTTAACTTCTCCTCGAGCTGTGGGTATCAGGTATTGTGTCCTAACAATAAGGGACTAGACACCCACTTTCCACCGACACCTCCTTGATCTGACCATCTCCCTCTGTCTTGGGGTTCTCTGGAGAAACCACCAATAAGACACAGATGGTAAATGGGAAAAGATGTATTATGTCCGGTTGGCTTCCATGCCTAGGGATGCCAAGAAGTCCCACAATCTGCTGTCTGAAGCTGGAGCACAGGCAGGTCCTGGTGTTCACTCCAAGCCCAGAGGCCCAAGAACCAAAAACAGCATTGTCTGAGGACAGGAGAAGATGGATGTCCCAGCTCAAGATGAGAGTTTTTTCACTCCTCCTCTGCCTCTTCCTTCCATCCAGGTCCTCAGTGGAAGCCCCTGGTGCTGATGATGGAAATCCTGTACTCAGCCCACTAACCCAGTGCTAATCTGTACCAGAAACTTCCTCCTGGACACACTCAGAATAATGTTCTACCTGTTGTTGGCATCTCTGAGACCAATCACATGTTGACACATAAATCAACTATCATGGGCTCACCCCATTGCTGAACTCCACTGAGGACGCCCTCTATGCCTGTGCCTTGAACATCTTCTGTCACTTCCTCCTCAGTGATATCCAGGCTTCTCTACTGATACTCCTGCTCCTAGAAGGGATCCAAGGTGACTAAATGCGGCCTTCTAGTAATCCTAGCCACCTCTCCCAGCCCACAAAGGCCCTCCGGCCATTACTGCCAAATGATCAAATTCCTGCCTGGCTCCCAGAGCAATGGTGTCCTAAGGATCCTGGAACCAATTCCCTGCAGACACAGATTCCTGTAGCTGTGCTTCATGGGATACAAAATCTAGGAGAAGCAACAGGGTTGTTCAGCAGGCTCTGAGAGGCCAAGGATTCTCAGGGAGTTAACAGACCCACCATGGCTCATTGCAGGCAAAAGAGAGAGTTCAACCTTGGGGTCTCTGTGTTGTCCATTTCCTACCTCAACTCAAGACTGGGCCCTTCCAGAGTTGATCCCTTTGGTCTCCTATCAAACTTTGTCCCCATGTGTGGTACAAATGACCAAGAGGAGGGCACAGCTTTGGCATCCTCCATCCTCCACTCATGAGCAAAGATATTCTCTACAGGACCGTAGCTGTACGAGATCAATGATGAGCTAGCTGGTGGGAAAGATCACGACTACAGCAGAATAGGGGGAAAGGCGGAGAGCCCCGCGTTGACCCAGAAATTCCTCCACACAAAGAAATGATCCTTTCCCCCCATGTACAGCCGGATCTGGTTCTGTGGGGGGTTTTCACACAGACAAGGAGTACTGGTATAAGGAGATACCTTTATAATGCTTGGTGGAAGGTAGAGAACAAGATAGAAAAAAGAAGGGAGGAAGGAAGGAAGGAATTTTTTACTGAGTCTATCGTGACTGTTGACGTTCACATGGGAAATGAATGGCATGTGTGAGCATAATTTGCAGGTTTAGGGGACCTGGCAACCTTCTTGCTATCAGTGAGATGAAGACATCCAGACTCCAAATAAGGCCCTAGAAGCAGCATCAACAGCAAGACAGACGACATCCCCATGCATCTTGGGCTGCCCAGGCCTCACAAGAAGCACCATGTTGAAGAACAGGGCACTGGACCAAGAAGAAGATCCAAGGAGTCATGGGAGGAATCTAAGGACTTTTTCCAGGAGGAGGAAGTGTGGTAGTCTCTGGTGAGAGATGAAGCTTGGGGAGAGGTCCGAGAGCTCCTTTAAGCTGATGGAAGGGTGAGATTGAGCTATTTTCAGAGTCCTTGTGTGGACACTGGTGGGTGGAAATCCTAGGGACATTTGCTCTAATAAAGACACAGACTTGGACAGGAAGAAGTCTCTGCCATACCTGTCCTGAGGACAGGGGAATTGCTGGATATACACATGGAGAGTGCAGGCTAGCGAAAGGGGAGCTCTGTGGATGAGTGGATGGATGGATGGATAGATGGATGGCTAGGCAAGCAGATGGATGGACACTATATGGACAGCTGAATGAATGCACAGAGGGATGGACAAACAGGTCCGAAGAAATGGGTGGATAGGGCTGGGAATTTAGCTGAGTGGCACCACACCTGCCTCACAAGCACAAGGTCCAGAGTTCAATCTCTGGTACCAAAAAAAAAAAGTGGGGGTGGAAGGGGGGAACAGAACAGACACATGTGAGGAGGAATGGCCGAAGGACGAGCATGTTCAGAACTGCCCTTCCATTCTGAGAATCCACAACTACTTGGTAGTGTGGATGAGGAATACCTCCTCTTTGGGATTTCACAGGCCAATGAGTATGCAAGATTGACACAAAGTTACCAGCTTTTAATTGTGTCAAGTTAAGAACATTGTAACAGTGTTCAGTGTAACAACCATCATCTATTTAAAAGATGAAACAGAATAGAGTGAAATAAAAACAGTTCTTCCCCAGTAAGGATCATTAATAATCTCTCTCTCCCCACATCGCTCTTTCCCTCCTTCCTTCCCTCCCTCTCATTCTATTGAGGAATAACAGGCAGCTTGACCCAAAATACTGTATTTGGAGCATATATTTTGTTTATAGACTCTTATTTTCCATTTGTTATACTAAGAGAAAAAGAACTAATACTATACATATGAACTATGTACTATATGCTGTGTTATATATAATGCTATATACTATGTTGTATACTATTTGTAATGCTAATGGAAAAAGGACTAATAATACGCAGTACATACCATGTATATACATATGTACTGTACAGACACAAAGGAGAGGTGCATTTAGCTCACAGTTTTGAAGACAAGAAGTCCAAGCTGTATGATGACAGCTCTGGTCAGGCCCCTGGCTATAGCACGGTATGACAGAATGTGTCACGGTGGGACCATGTGCAAGAGAGACATCCTGTGACAACATGTGAAGCCAGAAACTAGGCATGGCGGCCCACACCTGTAATCCCAGCACTTGGGAGGCTGAGCCATGAGGATCTCAAGGAGTCTGAGGCCATCCTGGACTACATAGTGAGTTCAAGTTCAGCCTGGACTACAAAGTGAGACCCTGTCCAAAAAAAGTTGGGGGGCGGGGAAGAACGAGGAGGAGGAGGAGCTGTCAGAGAGTGAGGATCCAGTCTTCCTCTTTTCATAACAACCCACTCTCTCAACAACTGCCTCATTGCCTGAAAACTACTTAAATTCCTCCTAAGGACCGCCCCCCAGACCTAATCTCTTCTTCCCCTGGGTCTCACCTTTGAAAGATCTCACCATCTGCCAGTACTGCCATGCTGAGAACCATGCTTCCAACCTGTGAGCTTTAGAAGGACACACTCACAGGACACCACACGTTTAGGGAAAGAACCTTCAAATAATGCATGTGATGCATCCATAAATCCTTAATTCTCAAATCTGGGTCTGTTAAACAAGAAAAGTAAGACAACCAAGGACAATACAGCACATAAAAACACTCCAGTAGTGTTAGGGCAGTGGGTGGAGCATGGGAAATGGGGACAGTGAAGACCTGCAGAAGCTACATTCATTACCCAGTGTCCTCTGTTCCAGCCGTCTGTCACTGCTCAGGAAGACAAACCCACTGTTGGTGGATAGATTTTCTGATCTCTCAAGAAATTAAATATACACCTCTTATGAGAACCCTTAAAATACTTAATTTTTATTTTGTCTTGTTTTTTGAGACAGGGTCTTGCTATATAGTTCAGGCTGGTCTTGAACTCACTATGTAGCCCAGGTCGGTCTCGAACCCAGGTTGGTCTCCTCCTGCCTCAGCCTCCTGAGTCCTGGGATTACAGATGTGCACCACCATGCCCAGCTTGCAGTTAATTTTTAAAAATCAGCCTGAGCCCAGGCCAACATTGTTTAGTCAATCAGCGCACTCGCACACATGTACACACACACACACGCACACACACTTGTGTAACAGCTTTAGATCCTGGAGTTGGGGTGGGAGGTGACAGGAAAAGGTACCAAAAAGAACAACCATGATGATTCTCTGATTCAGACTGGAGTGAGAGGGGGGGCATCCAAAAAAAAAAAAAATTACCACCAGATCCCTCCTGCTGGTGGATAATTTCTCTGCAGTCTATTTCCAGAAAAGCTGTAATTCAGCTTCCAACAACCTATGATTTACATCCGGGCCAGTGTAAAAGATATTGTGAGGAGTCTTCTGAGTGTGCTCTGTGTGTTTGTATAAATCTCTCTACTCAAAATATCTCCCACAGTTGACTGACAGCCCATGTAATTTAGCAGAAGGCTAAAAATTAAAATCCTCCAGCCTGCTGAGGGAGAGAAAGAACACTCTACAGTGACACTGAACACCGCCCCTAGCCTGGGCCCAGCTCGGCAGATGCCTGGGCTGTACATTTTGGAGACAGAACAAAATATTTGTATTTAGATTTATTAAGTCATTATTCCGCCATTTGTTCCAATACGCTTTATTAAAACCGGATCTCATCTCTGTTTTGAAAGTATTACCTGATTTACATAAGCTGGTCCCAGCCCTAATTACCGCTTCTTTCGGTGTCTTTTTATTCCGAAGGAGGTTGGTCCTCCCCCGCCTGTTTTTTTGTCGCCTGCCTTTATGGCCCATATGTCTGCCTTGAGATAGCAGGAATCTTAGCCTATAAATAGACGGTTCGGAGCGGCCCCGCTGCCAGTTATCTGTCCACACATCAGTATTACCATAATTGCGGCAGTGAATGTGTAATCTCTCTAATCACACGTTCCAGTCGGAAAACTGGATTGGGTTTCATAAATTGTATAATTTGAGGCTTTCCTGAGCTAACCACCAGGCAGACGGGCGGCCGTGGGTCATCCAGGGCTTGGCAGGGGCCCTCAGCCCGGCTGGGCGGCCAGGGCAGTGCAGTGTCACACACCTGAGGCCGCTCCTGGCTGTGGATCACAGCGGCGTCGCCTGTCCCTGAGCCTCCGAGGCCAGGCCGCCTGGGGAGCAGGAGAGGCCTGTTCTCAGCCCCACTGTTTGTAACATCCTCTCTCCATTTCGCTACTGTTGACCTTTCGGGAAAAAAATAACATTAATATTTCCATCCTGACAGATGAAGACATCAAGATTAGGTGACGTTGCGAGTGTTTCCAAAGGATCACACAGCTCAGAACTGACCTCAAATGCCGCCTGAGGCTCCCTGTTCCACACCCCGAGCTGCCGATCTCATCTACAGTGTGGTGCCAACAAGTGCCAGTGAATTCCATTTGTAACTCCAGACTGCCTTTATTATTGTCATTTTAGCTAATCCTCACGATTAGACAACAAAATGGAACTCAGAGAGGTCAAGTTCACTGCCCACGTCCCTCAGCTTGCAGAGCAGAGCTGCGATTGGAGAGCAGGGGCTGCTGCCCTTCCCAAAGCCCCAGAGCCCAGGTGCTCTCCAGGGTCCTTGGCTCTTCTCTCTCAGCATTGTTTGCTTTGCCACTCTCAGAAGGGGGCCATAGGGCCAGGGATTTAGCTCAGTGGTTCCACTGCCTGCCCCGAAAGCATAAGGAAGAGTTCAATCCTGGTACCAAAGCAAAAACAAAAACAAAAACAAAACAGAAGGAGGCCATAATGGGGCTGCTGTCCACAGGCAGAGCCCTGGGGAAGGGCAGGGGAGCAAGCTGGCCTTCTGCTACCTTCTCCAGGCCCCAGGGACAACTCCAGGCCTGGTGGTGAGGACGCTGCTTCCCCGAAACCCCCCAGGGAGCTTGGGGAAAGGGTTTCTTTTTGTTTTGTACCACAAGGTTCCTTAGGCGATGCTATTCACACCCAAGGTCCCCAGGGTGGCTCACAACACCTGGATACATGGGCTGGGGACGTCTCCACAGGCCTAGCACTGCCCCGCACTGCCCAGTAATTGCCTAGCATTGCCAAGTTTCAGAGACGTCTATTAGCTGCTTTAAATTGTGCACTCATCAGATGACACCCTTGTTGCCAGGAGGGGCCCCCAGGAACCATCCACTCCAACTCCCTGGACTTTTCCAGAGGAGGAAATGATGCTCAGGAAGGGGCAGAGCCTGCCCAAAGTGGCAGATGCAGAGACTTGGCTGGAAGTGGGACAGGGAAGGAGAACAACTTGCTCAATGATAAGGCATAAAAAGATAATGAAAATTGCCAGGTGTGGTGGTGCGCACCTGTAATCCCCCTCCCCAACTTGGGAGGCTGAGGCAAGAAGATCTCTATGAGTTCAAGACCAGCCTGGGCTACACAGTGAGTTCAAGACCAGCCTGGGCTACACAGTGAGTTCAAGACCAGCCTGAACTGCCTAGTGAGACCCTGTCTCAAAAGAAACCCAAATGTGCTATCGATTAACCTGCTGTGTGACTTTGTCTGAGTCCTTTTCCTGGTCTGGGTTTGTCAAATACAAGGTTTTCGTTCTACATACTGCAGCCACTCCCCCAACAGGAAAAATAATTGCGTACGCACGTGTGTGTGTGTGTGTGTGTGTGTGTGTGTGTGTGTGCATATGCGTGCATGCATGACTCCTCCAAGCTCAGATGGACCCACTGAGGCAGATGTGGCTTCCTGCTCTTTCCTTTAACCCCACAGCTGGGGCTTGATGCTTAGTGAGTGGCACTGTGGGCTCCCCAGCTCCTCCTGGGAGGGATCCCCCACTTCCCGCTTCTGCCAATGCCAACAGCACTGACAGTATTCCCACCCCTAGAGGACCTCTCGCTCGCTCCCTGTTTTTGGGAGCTCAGGTCTCTCCTCTCTGGAAGGTCTGTGAAACACCCTGTGGCAGACAGGAGTCGGGAGTACAAATTGGGAAGCATAGAAGAAGATGAATCAAAGAGGGGGGGATTTCTCTGGCAACTGGGCCAGAATGGTGCCTGGTCACTTCGTCCTGAGCTGGACTCGGTCAGGCCTGGAGTGAGCACCCCGAGGGCAGGGAGATTGCCTGCTGCTGCCTGTGCCTATGGCCAAGGTGTCCATAGATTCAGCTGCTCCCAGCAGCAGGCGTGCCTGCTCTGAAGCGAAAGCCTCTGCCCACTGCCTGAGAAAACAGGCCGGAGGTGACACCAGTCCCTCCGGAGGGTCTCGCCAGGAGCCCCTGCAGAATGGGGTGCTGCCCCACCCTGCCTCAAGCAGCACAGATGATGCTACTGAGGACAATGGGACCAGGCTGCTCCCCCTTCACCAGGGGAAGCCATGGAGCAGAGGCACTAACCCACTGGAAGCCCCACTATGTGCCTGGCTCTGCCATCTTCCCTTCCATTTGCACAGGAGATTGCATGACAAAGGAGGGCATGGGAGAGGGTGACAGGACTGGCGTGGGATTGAAACCCATGTTCGTCCTTCCACAAATCCAGGCCTCTGCTCTCCAACCCGACATTCTGTCCCAGGGCTACACACTGGCCAGCTGTCCCCAGGGTGACAGCAAGTCAAGGCCACACCAGCTCGCTCCAGGGTGTCCCCAGGCCGTGGCCCTGGCTGGGAACTCTTGTGCCTTGCATCCCATGGTGGTGGTGGCTGTGTCCAGCTGGGTGGTGACTCAGCCATGCTTGTTCCCATGGGCCCAGAAGCCCTGTCCGGCTATTGGTTCTGCTTCGTGGGCCCATGGGGCCCCTCCCGGCACCTGGCCTGCCATCAGCAAGGCCATGGGGCGCATAGCCACCCCTCGTTCACCTCTGAGTCTGTGGTGTGTGCAGAGAAAGTGTTGCCCAGCCCATGGGACGGCTGGGGATCCCAGGGGATCTTGGCAGGACCATCAGGCAGAGCCAGGGGTGCCCTGAGGTGGCACTGCACAGCAGGACCCAGCACCCCACTCATGCTAAGGGAAGCAGCACACCACATGCAGGGCCCTGTGGCCAGCTAAGCAGCTGATCCTGTCTCCTCATTAGTAAAATGGGACTGATAAGGCAGCCGGCCTGGTCTGTTCTGCACCACGCCACAGCCCTCATCACCAAGGGCCTGACAGAAGGCATGTGCCAACGTGCCCCCGATGTGGGCCTTTCCTTCCATCCCGTGTTCAAGTCCAGAAGTTTTGTGCAATCTTCCACAGGTCTCATTTTGCCTTCGTCACCCTAGGGTGCTGTGGGAAGGGCCATGGGAGGCACTTTGCAAAGGATCCCCAGTGCTGCCATTGCTGGTTGCTGCCATGGGCCTCCTTGACCCTCCCAGGGGAGCAGAGTGAACGTCACCCCCTTCACTGCCCCCTAAATTGGTCCAGGAAGGAGCTAAGATGGGGAACAGGAAACGTCCTTGGTGACTGACAGTCACTTCAGTTAGGAAAACCAGAGAAAGTAACTTCTGCTGAGCATCAAGTAGGTGCCAGCTGTTGGGGTGGCATTTGGGGACACCGAGGTGCCCAAGGCATGGTCCCTACTGAAAAGGGCTCATGGGGCAGACATGGGAGGAAAGAAAAGAGGCATGCAAATGGCTTCTAGCCGGACAGATGGGAAACAGGCCAGGCAGACAGCTTCCCTATGCTTCTCTCACTTGTCTCGGTGAGAATCCAGCACAGCCTAAGGGTATTTGAAAAAGCTTCGTGAAGGGTGGACTTGGGACTTTTTTTTTCTTTGAGACAGGGTCCTGCTGTGTAGTTCAGGCTGCTCTTGAACTCACTGTGTAGCCCAGGCTGGCCTCAAACTTTCGGCAATCCTCCTGCCTCAGCCTCCAGAGTGCTGGGATTACAGGCGAACACCACCACACCTGGCTGACTTTGGGCTTTGAAGGATGAGCAGGAATTTTCAAGGAGAAGGAAGAGAATGAGCGTGGAGGCCCCAGTCAGCCGTGCAGGTGGTCATATCTGGGTTGAGGACCCAGGTGTCCTGAGAGCTGCATGTCACCGTGGGTGGCTACGCAGGTGTGCAGAGGCCCATGGGGTGTGAGACACCCCTGCTGCCTGCTATGTGGGCAACCTATGGCCCAGATCTCTGCCTTCCAGGAAGTGGCTGGGTGGGACAGATTCACCCTTGGCATATTCAGAGCAATCCTCACCAGCAGGTCTCCAGCCCAGGTGTGACCTGTGAGTGCTGACGTCACTTCCCTCCTCAGGTGACACTGGCAGTCCATCCACAGAGGGGAGGATAGAGACACAGTTTTGCTTTGGTGTTGCTGCAGTACCGGGGATGGAACTCGGGACCTTTGCATTGAGCCGTATCCCCAGCCCTTCTTATTATTTTGTATTTTGAGACAGGGTCTTACTGAGTCATTGAATTGCCTGACCTGGGTTCTAATTTGTAGTCCTCCTGACTCAGCCTCCCAGAGTGCTGGGATTACAGTCATGTGCCCCCGTGCCCAGCTGATACACAATTTGTGAGCACCATTTCCAGGGGCTAGGGACATCCTCCTGCCAACCGATCTCCACGGAGGACCCCTCTGATATTGTCCAATTCCTACATTTCACAGGTCAGGAAGCTGAGGCAGAAAATGAATATGACCTCCCAGAGCTCCACAGTCAACCAAGGCAAAATGGACCTAGACTGGGGGCTTGTGCTGGTTTTCTCCCATAGGCACCTACTGCAGCCACCTCCCAAATACCCCTGCAGCGCTGTAGGTCTGTGTCCTGCCTTGAGATAGAGATGGGCGTGTGCTCTCTGTCACGCTCAGCCTCTGAGGAAACCCCGCCCTTGTCCTCTGCTGTCACCAGAGTCTCCCTGTTCCCCACTGGCCATGCCCCACCTCTGGGCACAGGGACACCTCCCTCCCTCCCCACCCTCCGCAGCTTCCACCAGTTGGATTGGCTTCCTGCTCAACCCTGGTGCCTCCTACCCAAAAACACAATCAAGAAAACAATCCCAGTGACCACAATTACACACAAAGTTAAATACTTCAGAATATGGCTGGGGATTTAGCTCAGTGGTTCCGGCACCTGCCTCGCAAGCTCAAGGTTCTGAGTTTGATCCCTGGTACCAAAAAAAAATACTTGGGAATAAATTTAACCAAGGAGGTGAAAGGCCTGAACATTAAAAACTATAAAACTGTGATGAGTGAAACTGAAGAAGACACCTATCACTGGAAAGATAGCCTATGGGCCTGTTTTCGAGAAATTAATATAGAGTCGCTATAAATTCCATCAAAACTCCAGTGACATTTTTCAATGGAAATAGAAAAAAATTCATATTGAACCCCAAGAGACCCCAATTAGCCAAAGCAATCTTAAAGACAAGGAATAAAACTGTTAGAGACATCATATTACTGGGCTTCAGAGTACACTACAAAGCTGTGGTAATCAGAGCAGCATGACATAAAAACAGGCGCTCAACCAAGAGGACAGAAGAGAGAGCCCAGAATGGAATTCATATGCTTACAATCAATTGGTTTTTGACAGATGCTGGGAACACTCAATGGGAAAAAGGACAATTTATTCAATGAATGGTGGCTATTCACATAGAGAGGAATGAAATTAGACCCTAGTTGAGATCATATAGAAAAACCAATTCAAAACTGATTACTGACCTAAGAGCAGAAGCTGCAAAACTACCCAGGAAAACAAAAAGCAAGAAAAAAACCTCCATTATATTGGCCCAGGCGAAGATTTTTTTTTTGGTGCCAGGGATCGAACTTGGGTCCTTGTGCTTGCAGGGCAGGTGGCAGAACCACTGAGCTAAATCCCCGGCCCAAAGATTTTTTTTAAAATATAGAACCAAAAGCAAAAATAGAAAGTAGCATTACATCAAACTAAGGAAACAGAGTGAAGAGACAGCTGCAGATTGGAAGAAAATATTTGCAAAACCAGAAGGGATTAGTATGCACAATACAGAAGGAACTCAAATGACTAAATAGTAAGAAAACAAATAACTGTTAAAAACCAGTGAAGAATTGAACAGACATCGCTCACAAGGAGACACACACATGTTCAAAAGGTATATGGAAAAAGCCTCAACCTCACTAGTAGCCAAATGCAAATTAAAACCACTCTGAGTAGTCAGGCATTTTGGCACACCCCTGTAATCCCAGCACAGGAGGCTGAGGCAGGAGGCTCACTGTGAGTTTGAGGCCAGGCTGGGTTCCATAATGAATTCAAGACCATCATGAACTACATATTGAGATCCTGTCTCAAAAAAAAAAACAAAAAAAAAGCAAAAGCAAAGATAACAAGTATTCACAAGAATGTAAAGAAAAGGGTGCTTTGCACACTGCTGATGGGAGTGTAAATTAGCCATTGTGGAAAATAGTATATTAGTTTCTAAAAAAATTAAAAATAGTACTATCATATGATCCAACAATCCTACTTCCAAGAATCCACTCAAAGGAAATGAAATCAGTATGTCAAAATGACATCTGCACTCCCATGTTGATTGAAGTGTTATTCAAAATAACCAAGGCATGAACTTAGCGTTGGTGTCCATCAATAGACAAATGGATGGAGAAAATGTGTATATATACAGTGGAATACTATGCAGCCTCAAAAAGGACATTCTGTCATTGCAACATGCCAGAGCCCAGAGGACACTACACCAAAGCACAAAAACAAATGCTGTATGTCCCCACTCTTACGTGAAACCAAAACAGGATTGGATTTCAAAAGAGAGGGAGAGTAGAATGGTGGTTACTAGGTGCCAAGGTGCTGGTGGAGAGGATGGTGGAGGGGAGAAAGAGAGGAAGAAGGAGGAGGAAGGAATGAGAAGAGAGAAGGGAAAAGAGAAAAACGGAAAGGAAAGGAATGGAACCCAGTTCTCCCTCTTTATTCCCAAGAGTCCAGCCAGCCTCTCCATTGCTATAGCCAGAGAAACATTTCTACAGCACACGCAAATGTCACTTTTCTCCATAAGATCTTACAGGGGTGCTCCACAACCTTCAGAAACAATTTCCAGTTCTTGGTGTGGCTTACCCAGCACCCCTGCGCCCTGCGGCCAGCACCGCCTGCCTCCAGCGCACCCTCCTGCCACTTGGCCTCTCCTGTGCCGGGCACCACCGGGTGAACACCCCTGCCCCGGCTGCCTGGGACCCTGTACTCTGTGCATCTTTGTACCAGAGGAGTGGGTGTGCCTGGGCTGCTCCATCCCCTGCACCCTCCAGAGGAGCTGGCCTGTTTGCTTCTTAAATTCCATTCCTCTCGGCAACCTACCTTCCGCTTCTGGAAACCCTGCATACAAGACGCTCCCCGTCCACATCTTCCACGGCAGTTTCCTTACAGAAGCAAACACAGTTTTTTAGCTATGGTACTGAAATTAGTAAAGAAAGGTAAACACAAGTAGCTTTGAGACAATGTGCCACTGGCCACCTTGTGAGTGAAGAAGCAGCTTAGCCAAGGAGTTCAGCCCATAAATCCAGCAAGAGCAGGACTCACATCCAAGGTCCCAACAGTTCGGAGAGGGAAGAGTAATAAAGAGGCGGCGAGATGTGCTGTCCAAGGGCCAGGTGGAGCCTGGGCCTCCCTTCTCCCCGCGGGGACTGTGCTTCAAGGCAGAGGTCACAAATGTAGCCCCCAAAGAACTGCATTCCCTTGGCTGTTGTAATTGGATTTTCAGCTTTCTAGAGCAGCTCTTCCTGTGTTATGTCTGCAATTTGTAGGATCTGATAAGAGACTCTGCTTCAAAGTTCAAACGAGACCAAACTTTGTAAATAGCTTCACAGAGAAGCCCGGTTTACACTGGGAGGCAATCAATGGTGGCAGATGGCAGAGTCTTCAGCCAGAGATGAAGCAGGAATCCCAGCAGCACATCTGGAGGCCGTGGGCGAGTTACTTCACTTCGGCGCCCCTGGTTTCCTTAACAGTGCAAGGGGGATTAGCATATCGCTGGCTTCTTTGGGCAGGGGCAAATGACGCAGTCCATTAAAGACTGCGCCTAGCGTAAGGGCTCCGCTAATGTGAGCTGCGGTGCTCAATGTAACTGAAAGCAACGGTGTGTGCAGAACAGCTGGGTATTTAATCCGTATAGACTGGAAATAATTTTGGCAGAATAAGTGGAAAACAGGACTCCACAGGTATGGTTGAGTTAGGGACCTTGGGAGGGTTAGGTTCTCCTGGATTGTCAGGGTGGGCTCTAAATGCCACAAACATCCTCGTCCTCATAAGGGACAGGCAGAGGGCGAGCTGACATCCTGACCCAAAGAGGTTTGACGATGCTCTCTTGAAGAAGGGCGTGATGCCAGCGAAAGCTGAGGACTGGCAATGGCTGGGACGCGTAGAAGTGGCCCCTCCCGGGAGCTGGACGCTGATCTCAGCTGGCGGCACTGATTCGGGATGTGTGTCTGGGCTGGAAGACTTGGAGAGAGCACCTTTCTGTCCTTGATGAGGGAGCTGGAGGCCTCAGATGTGGCCAGGGCTGGGTGCACCTAAGTGCTAGGGGGTGGGGGTCCGGTGAAAATCTTCGAATTTTGTGAATCTATAGAAAGCTCAGCCTCAATTTACAGGTGAAAGGCGATGGCCCATTCACAGGTGAAAGGCCCATTTTACAGGAGAAAGGCCTGGGCTCAGTCTTTCATATCTTTTGGGAACTTAGAATTGAGTGCCCCGGAAGGGGAAAAACATCGTAACCTTGGGGAACTTTGAAGGTGTCCGGAAACTCCAGCTTTCTTACAAGTGCAATTTTTAAATCCTGATTTTCTTCAGCTCCTTTCTACCTTTGTTTCTTGTGGGGGAGGGGTCTGGGCAACCTGGGGCCCTCAAGTCACCACACAAACGAGGGACGCATCTTTCATGTAGCTCCACCTTCTGCCATGGCTCTGATCCTCCAAATTCAAAGTGGGTTCCCGGACCACTGGGCACCTTGTTAGAAATGCAGAATTTTACTTTGGGCCCTACAGGTCATTTGGCGACCAGAGGCAGAGGCCAGCTGTGACTTGTTTGGCTGTGACCCTAGAACCAAGGAAGACTTTGGCATCTTTTACAAAGAGTACATGACTACAAACTACCATGTCCTGCAAAGCCCAAAATATTTATGATGCGGTCCTTTGCAGTGGAAGTTCACCTATCCTGCTCTAGAAAGGTGGATGTGTTCCATACCTCTCTCTATCTTCCCATCTCCCTCCTCCATTCCAAATACATCTCTATGCCACGCCTCGGGGGGCTGTTGGTGTAATGGTGGGTGCCGGGGGGTCCCTAGGCCTTTCTGCCTTGGCCTGGTCATGTCCACATCCACAGCCTGCCCTGTTCACCTGCCTTTCCCTCGTCTCCTCTGGGCTGGGTCTCATCCCAGATTTCCCTGGGACAAGGCCTTTCATCTTTGCAGCCTTTTCCCCCTAACACCCGACTCTCTCATGAAATGCAAATTAATTAGTGTCTAATTACTCACCCTCACCGCCTCTACAGCCTGCTCCTGTCGAACTGGGTTGTTGTCAGCTGAGAACGAAGCCCTAAAGGGGAGCAGGGTGGTTCGGCGGAGGTGGCAGCCCCTCCCCGTGTCCTCAGGCTTTGTTGGGAACATCTCAGCAACTGCTCCACACGCTCCAGGCCGGCCCCACGGTGCTGGTCATGCCACCCTCTGTGCACAGCTTCTGGGAAGCAGCTGTGCCCAGGGTCGTGCGAGCAGAGGCTCAGGCCGCAGCCTGTGCCTGGAGGAGCCCATGTGAGCACCAGGAGCCGAGCCCTGTGTCCCTGCCAGATTAGCAGGAGGGAAATGGGGACTGTGCCCAGGACGGGGGAGGCTTTGAACTTGGATGCACCCAGTTACGTGGAGGAGGAGGGAGCTCACGTGCCCTGCAAGTCACCCAGGAGCAGCACCATGCAGGAGGAGGAAGAGAGTACAGGCCTGAGAGCCACCAACTACTGGGACGGCCCAAGCCCTTAACCTCTCCGAGCCTCAGTTTCCCCCTCTAAGAACTGAAGTTCATATCATTCTCCTTTAACATAGGTGATCCCTTGGTCTTGACCTCTGTGACCTCTATTCCCACCTCTTTCCTGCCCAGAGCCATGCATTTGGCACGGGAAATGTTCTCCCTCTAGAACACCTGGGAGGGGAGTGGCTGCCCGGCCTCAAAGAGGTCAGGTGTGCTGACTCCCCATTCAGTGCTCATCCCACCAGCCCAGGTCAAGTGCTGAGAGAACAGCAGGGCTGGCTGCTCGGGGCCCTGCAGAGAGAGCAGAAGAGGAGACAGGTGGGCCTGGGAGCTGGCCAGGCCTTGCACGGATGGATGGGCCCAGGGACCTCCTGGAAGGAAGGCTGTGCAGGTCGGGGTGGCCAGGCCGGGCCGGGCACACAGCCTGCAGCTCCTTCGGCTGAAGCTGGAGGAGGGGGGCTTTCCGGAGCAGGCAAAGCCTCCATGGACAGACAGCAGCCTCGCCCCGAGATGGCAGGAGCATCAGGCACAGAGCAGGGATGGTGTGCCTCAGGGACAGTCCCCCGCCAGACAGTGACAACCCAGCCAGAGTTTCCCAACTCGGCTATTGGGACACAGCCCTGGGAGGGAGGGAGAGCCTTTCCCATACCTGGCCCAGCTCCTGCCCCAGGGTGGCGGCTGCCCACACACGGCCCCCCTCCCACCATCTGAGGGCCTGCCAGGATCTCCTCCTCCTGCTCCTCCTCTGGCCTGGTCTGCCCCTGGCAGCGAAGACTGCCCAGCTCTAGGAAGAGTTCAGAAAGTCTAGCTCTGTCTCCTAGGCTCGGCCTAGGCTTCCCCTGGTCCCTCCCTGCCAGCTCCCTCAGAAGTCAGCTCCAGCCCTACTTTTCACCCACTTACTAGCTCAGCCATGTCTGGGCCAGGCCGGGGGCTGTCTCATGCCACCGAGGAGCGGGCAGGACAGGATATGGCTGTGATGGGACACTCGCGAGGGCTTGAGGCTAAGAGGGCAGAGAAAACCTGGTCATAAACTCCTGGCCCCATAGGCTGGAAAGTGGGAACTCTTGCAAAAGTCTCAAAGGGATGGGATGGGGAGATTGCTTTAGCTGTGAGACCCTGGAAAGGGGTGGCATCTGGGCCCCCCCTGGAGGGAGTTAGGGCACAAGCTCAGGGCCACAGAGGACCTAATGGTCCCTTCACAAGCGGGGGGTGGGGGGGTGACAGGCTCCTTCTGGTAAAGGACCTTGAGGAGCTGATAGGGACTCAGAAAGGTATGAATCAGGGAGATTGGTGACCAGATTTTAGAAAATAAACCTTTATGACACCAGTTGCGGTGGTGTACATCTGTAATTCCAGCTACTCGGGAAGCTGAGGCAGGAGGACCTCGAGTTCAAAGCCAGCCTGGGCAATTTTTTTTTTTTGTACCGGGGATCGAACTCGGGACCTTACGCTTTCCAGGCAGGGGCCAGAACCACTGAGCTAAATCCCCAGCCCCAGCCTGGGCAATTTAGCAAATTCCTGTCTCAAAATTAAAACTTAAGGAGGGGGCAGGGAGGCCATTCAGGGATGCAGTAGAGCGGCATTAGGTTCAAATCCCTGGAGAGGAGCAACTTGGACATAGTGGCTGGAGAACCACTGAGAGGGACAGCTCAGGGACAGGACCCTGGGAGTGCAAAGCCCACCCTGCCCCTCAGCCCTCTAGAGAGCTCACAGGCCAATACTGGGCCACACCACAGTGCGGAGCCGGCCCTCTGCAGCCAACCCCGGGGGACTTTGCATGCACAGGAAGTCGCCCGTTACTGAGCGAAGCCACTGTGGACTCTGTTATTGCACCACAGCAGGGCCAGCATGACTAATGCCAGTCTCACACTTGTGCTCTGCTTCCTCCCAGCCTGCTGGCTCCCCTGCCTGGCTCCTCTGCCCTTCCCAGCCCAGCCCTCCCACGCTACCTGCTTCTCTGCTGCCTCAGACTCTTGGTGCCCTGTCTCCACTCACCATATTATTATTCCACCCAACTTTGCCATTTTCCCAGAGAATGGGGCTCATGAGCCTCATTTACTGAGCTCCTGGGGCTAGAATTGGGCCCAATACCTCCTTGGGTCCCTGTTGGATGTGGGAACTGAGCCCAGAGGCTACACGGGTGAGCAGGCCAAGTGAGATCCCCTGCTTGCCTGGCCTCCCTGTGTTCTTTCTCCCTTCACTCCATCCTGCCTCTGGGATCCAACCTAGGGGAGGAGAAAGCTCTGACCGAGAGATGGGAAATATTCCCGGTATTGTTCTAAGGCCGAAGCTTGCGGTTGTGGAGGGAGGTGGAGGGGGGTAGGGGCTGGGGAGGAGAGGTTAACAAGATTAAAAAAGCCATAATGAGACCGCAGCACAAACCCTGCAATTATGCTCCCAAATTTAATCAAAACAGCTTCCCGCACTGGGCCTGGAACACATCTAACAGGCCCCGTCAGGTTCTGCCTCCCAGGCCTAGCGCTTGAGACACCACGGAGCCCAAGTCTTGGTGCGGGGCATGCAGGGCGCAAGGGTGGGGTGGCTGTGCCCCATCCGACTCCTGCCCTGGGTCCCCTTGGACTCCCGCCTTCCCTTGGGGCCCCGAGTGAATCTCTGCTGGCAGCTCTCTGACCTTCGGCCTTCAGGCGAACCATGACCTTCCAGGCCTCCAGTGAGCAGCCAGTCTGGGATTCTCAGCCTCTATGATCCCACAAACCAATACCTGACAACAAATCTCTCCAGATCTCTCTCCTTTGGTTGTTTCTCCAGGGAACATCAGTTAATACAGCTGCTCACTCCACTGTGGACCCTCCAGGAGCAGGAGTTCGTCAGGGACCGTGTCCAGCTGCTGTGATGCCGGGGCTCATTGTTTCTGCTCCACTG